CTCGGCAGTTAAAGCGCCGACCAATACCAAAATACCAAAATACGTCGACAAGTGGGAACTTGGCTTGGGAAAATAAAAGAATCTGTATATTGTCGACACTATGCAAAACATGCGCTGGCCTGCCCTATGCGGGCCTCTACACAAGACAACATAGTCAACCCCTCCCCCTTCACTAGCCCCACCGAGCGCAGGCCTAGGCCTTGCGACCGAAGGATCGATGACGAGAGGCAGCCACGAACCGCGCCAGGGCCGCCACCTGCTTGCTCTTCACCCGCGCCTCCTCCTGGCCGTTCAGCTCGCGCCGGGCTCGCCCCAGCTCGTGCCATGCCAGGTGCTGCTCGTTGTGGTGCTGCTGCTCCTCCGCCTGGCTCTCCCACTTGCTCAGGAGGCTGGTGGTCTTGTAGTTGTTCATCTCCGTCGCGGCGTTCATCTTCTTCTTCTTGTCTTGGCTGTGTGTAGCGTGTAGTGGTAGTAGTTTGTCAGGTGTTGTTGTTTGCTGTTGTTTGAATGTTGTGCTCGATGCTCCTCCTTGTTTTAAATCACTGGGACATACGGCACCGGGTTGATGTGCGTCTCCAGGATTCGCTGGCCCGGGCTGCTCCATCGCTCTCCTCCTGGCCCACCCCATTCAAAAAACGCAGCTGCGGTCGGTCGCCGCGTCTCCCGCGCCTCAAGGAAAGGAAATCAAACCTGACCCTGCGGGTACCCGGTTCTCAAGGGTCCGGTAACCGCCATGACCTGTGTGTAGTGACTCCAACGTTGGGCCACCCCATCGCGCCTCCATTCTACCAATCAGGTTTTGGTTCCTTTAATATTGATAAAAAATCATGAAAGTATGTGTGTGTTAGTGGCCAGCCAGCTCTCTGCCTGACGTTTCCGTAGTCGAGTGTTCCTGTTTGTTTGTCTGCTTAGGCCTCACGTTCGGCTGTCGTTGTTGGATGCGGCCGCGACGGAGTTCAAAGCGAGAATCTCTGCCGTATTCCCGTGGGAGGTGCCTGTTTAAAATGTAGGACCCAACCACCTGGGCACCACCTCCATAAATTATTATTTTTTTTACTAAGACCGGTTGTGAGGCGAGGGCCGCCTTGGCCTGGCATTTGTCGATGGCCGTCATCCAGTCCATGATCTGCTCCTCCTCGCTCGTTTGTGTGCCGCCACCGCCACATGTGGGGAACAGGTAGAACACCTTGCCCTCGTTCTGCTTGTCCTCCACCACTATGCACGTGCGGTCTGTGGCGTGATGAGATGCGTTCGGGCTGTGGTGTGCCGCTAGTCGTGGTGTCTGTGTGCGGTGTGTGCGGTGTGTGCATGTACCGCCGTAGTGCGAGTCAGTGTAGCGCTTAGTGACAGAGACACGGGCACCGGCTAGTTCGATCCTTCCAAGAGGTGCGTCGTGCTGTACTGTGGTTGTGAGTAGAACGTTTCTAAAATATATACTACAACGTAATCTAATTATAATGTACGCGAAAAAAGATTATATAATTTCATAAAATAAAAACTACTTGCAACGAACCTCACAAGACTCGTGGTAGGTGAGGACGGTGCCGCGTAGCGTGAACCATCGCCTCTTCCAAGACTTCCACAGGTGCCCTACGCGTGGCCCAGCGAGAACCAGGCCAGGGGTGTCAATAGAAAGGCGCAACATGTTTGAAGGGGGGGATGAGGCCAGTCGCACCTTCCTTGACGAGGTAGCCGGCCTTGGTGACCCGCTTGGTGTAGCCAAAGGGGCTGGGGCTCTGGGATACCGACGAGGACGAGGACGAGCTCGTAGAGGAAGCGGTGGTGGTGGTTGTGGTGGTTGTTGTCGAGGAACTCTCTGTCCTGGCGCTGCACACTGCCTCCACCACGCCGGAGAGCACCACTTCTAGAACGACCTCAAGAATTGCACCAGCCACCTCCTCCGCCATACCTGCGTGTTGTTCTGTCGAAAACACATTTTTCCCCCTATTTATCTTTTTATTTTATTTCTCTGGGCGGAAAAGGGAAGAGCAGAGTGCCCTTCCTTATTCGCTGAATTGATCAAATAAATGGTTATTCTTGACTATTATTATTTATTATTTATTTGTTAATTTAATTTAATATTGGCCACGCAAATACAGAGGGGGGTAACTAGTCGGCCTTGTCGAGCACGCAGCGGAGGAGGAAGTCCTCGGGGAAGCGCGGGTCCTTGAGCACGCCGTGCTTGGGGCTGTCGAGCTGCTTCACCGGCAGATCCAACATCTCCTCGCCCTGGTGGAAATTTGTGTGGAACGCAAACCTGTGTGCGGCGTGTGCGGTGTGTGCGGTGTGCGTGGTGAGTGTGTGTGTGTACGTGCGCGCGCGCGTGTGTGTGGTGTGTGAGTGGTTGGTGGACGAGGAGGCGGGATTCGCTTGAAGAAGGCGCGTGATAAGTACCGGAGGACCATGACGGGCTTGCTGGTGAGGAGGTAGGACTGCTGGTGGTACAGCCGGACCAGGACGTCGCCCGCCACGACGGCGCCCACCTCGAGCACGATCTTGGAGCCGTGCAGGGCCGTGTAGGTC